AAGAAAAATTTTATCAAGCACACGTTTTGAGGGTAGAGTTGGTCAAAAAACTATCTGAAAAGAGGATCAACTGTTAGGTTGTTAGGGAATGGACGTCTTTCTTTCAGGTTTCACTGCCACATTACACTTCAACGAAGTTTCTAACGGAAGCTGTCAAGCGATATATCCAATTCCTTCTCCTTAAACAAACCTATTCGGATCAATTTCTGACACCTTGCTATGACTTCGACATTGTGTGGCATACCCATCAGGTACGGTAAAGCTATTCTACAATGCTCCAGTAACCCTTTAAGAGGGTACAGTTTGGATTAACCTAATGACTGCTTGAAATATTTCTGGAGTGATTTATTCATCCCAGTGTTAGGATAGAAGAGAATGAGATGAATCACATTGATTTATTTAATCCACTTATTCACATATCCTCTTTGTTAATCATTCAGCCAGCTTTTTATAATCGATTGTTGTCATCCCCGAAGCTGCAATCGTAGGAAAGCCACCACTCTGGTTGTGAGTATAGTCGCAAATTTCCTATTTAATCAAAGCCATCAGTGAATTGAGCACTTCGTTACACTTGAAAGGAACACGTAGCTGTTGTCACCGTTTTACATTCATAGCATTCCTTTTTGTTGACTATTTTTCGCTGTCGTTGCGCCTCGGCTGAATCCAACACACAGATGTATAAGATTTCGCTCTGTAGTGTTGACGCCTAGGGGAAGGGAAAAGGTTTTTGCAAGCATGAGGTATAGAAATAGCTACAAATGCAATATCGAATAATCTCCGCTTAATCAAATAAGATCTGAGGGAGCTGTGGGGTTGAAAACTACAGAGACATCAGGGACGTTGAGTTCAAAACGGAGATAATCAGAAAGATGGGGAGCCTTGCCCATTTCCAGCCCAATATGTACTTTAGCTGGGAGCCAGTTTGCCTCAATTCCAAACTCTGCAAAGGAAGTTGTCGAACAGGACGGAATCTTGCTCTTAAAGTAGCAGAACAGGATCCTTGTCCTTATGGGAATCAGGCAAAGACCAGCGCAGTATAAAAAGCCTCGAAGTAGAAAATGGGCCAGCTGTTGGGGCTAGTGATTCCCCCAAAAGACGTCCACAGCCATCAGAGGCTGTCCTGCCCTCTTTTCCCACGTGTCGATTCCCTTTATCTTGTTCCTTTTTTTTCTCCTACTTTTCCTTTTTTCTCGAAGCTCTACATTCCTCTGCGAAATCGGCTCCATGAGGAGAGTTTTTGAAGTTTGTATTTGTGATTTTTTGTTGACCTGGTGAATAATTCCAAAGTCAGGAACAAGAATTCAGGTGCACCCATTGAACTACCTCCGTGATTGCACAGCAATATTCGGCTCATTGCTGAAACATGACGACACCGTAAATGACCGCACTAAAGGAAGTAAGCTGCTGAAAGGCGAGGCGTTAACGAAGAAACTGTGGGCGACTCATTTCGAGGAACCATTCTGGAGGCGAGGATGTATGTTCAGGTTGGTTTATTTATTGGCGTTTTTGTTTTTGAGCTCTGCTTTGTTTTCTTTTTCGCTCAATAATTACCCATAAGAATGTTGTAATGAATTATCGTCCCGTCTGAAGACGGTGGGCATGACGAATTGGGAAGTATAAAGCAAGTGGAAGTGAGTGGAGCTGAACCCGCAACTCTGCCAGTCGTACCAAATCCAACGACTTTATCCACACTGTCTGTGACAACCTTGGTATTTCGGTCGATCTCAGGATATCCTGTGCTGCTTGATCTCAAGCCCGTGCTACCTTGATGCTTTGACCGAAAGGAGGTGTGGGTTGGTACAGAAAGTGGACTCGGCTTACATATTTCGGTACCCTATTACATTCTCTTCTGGCGCCTAATCTCCCACACATTTCTGTAGCTACAATTTACAACTTACGGTAATCGCGTCGGGTCCACTGCCGCCTGTCGTGTGAGTTTGGGTAGGTCCACCTTCTAAGTTTATTGGCTCCTTCTTCCGTTCACTTTTCCTACTCTCAAAGTCCTCTTTCCACGGATTATCGTAGAATCAATTCGCATGGGAGTCTGGCTCTCACCGTTGTTTTGAGTACTTTCAGTAGATGAGGTCCTTTTGACAACATTATGGCATCTTTGTAATGTCGATTGCTCAGTGGTGTGGCTGTGAAGTTTAGTGCCAGTGGTGATGTGGTGATTGATGAGTTGTTTCGACCAGCCACCACTATCACTCCTAGTGATATCATTTTTTTGTGGTAGCAACAGACAGGGATACGACTGACCAACGAGAAATTTTCTCAATGAATGTGGATGCCCGCTGTTCGGAATGCTGGCCAAGTTCTTTCAATTGAACAGATTTTCTTGATAGAAAAGAAAGTTCTTTCTTGAACACATGCCGGAAAACGGTTGGCAATGCAGCTTAGGAACTGAGGCCGAACCCCCCGCTGCCACACAATATTCAGCATAATTGACTAGGCTCATAGACCTGAAGAGGCTCATATCATTTGGAAGGAACACGTTTCTTGTGAACGCATCAGCTGATCAACGCGACCGGCCTATGCGTTTTGCTCTGCTAACAGCCCTCCCGTCTTCATATCCCGTCCAAACTGAGAAATGATCCGACCAAAAAATAATTCGAGACCGTTCCTGTTTTTCTCGCTTTCGCCGCCATCAATGAACCTCCATCACCTCCACCCACTAAATGTACATAAATAAGGTCAAAAAGGTTAGAATTTTTGTTCTGTGCTGTCTAAGTGATAATGATTCCTCAAAAGCTTAGCGGATATTGGAATAGACAAATTCCTAGTAACCGATTTTTAATCATTTTGTTACATATACCGATGTGCCTTGGACCGATTGAGATTTGTGATTACTGTTGGCGTTCCTGCCCTATATATGCACACTCGGAAATGGGGAGACGGGCGTTAGGAACGATTACGGGTAATCGATTCGCCGCACGCGGCTGTCACGGACCACTCAATCGCCGTTATTACAGCTCTAGCGTTCCTCATACAGCTCAATCGATATGCGATCATTATTTTATGCTTAATTCTACTATTAGTACCTTTGTTCTTGTATTTCTTACCCACTGCTGCATCCTGTTACATTCCTTCGCGCACGACGCCCCTCTCACCGCGACGCGACCATTTCGTTCCTAACGCACCACATCCTCAGAAATGCCTTCAGTGAGCCCCTCTCCTGTCCAACGGTTACTGGTAGAGATATAAGTCGCTCTACATTCAGAACCGAACTATCTCAGGAGCATGCAAATCATATTGTAGGAACTAACTGCTGGAAGTGTGGCAGCATACTTTCTTGTATCTAGGCTTGTATCTTGTAGGTTTCGTATTCCATGGCATGCCAGAAATCACCGAAGACCTTATTCTCACACTGACTTCTAGTTTCTTGCCCTTTCAGCTCTTTTCGTTTCCAAGATAAGGCGGAGATAACTTCTCAGATTGTATCTAAAAAGGCTGACAACTTACTCCTCAACCGTTCTTTTCCTTCGCATACATAATCATTAACTTTCTAGAGGACATAATGCACCGGCATTCCTTGGATTTGAAAACCAGGATCTATCCAATATCGCCTACGGGGATGTCCATGTGCCTTCGATAGCCTTGAAAGATATTCCAGTTCAACGTGAACAATTAAGGTGAATCTTTGTTCCAAATTTTTTGACAATTCAACATAGTTGTGCGAAAGACTTCCTGAATAAAATCATCGTCTAGATGAAGGGGATAAGCATATCTTCAACGGAAGCTCTTTGCTTATGCCGTTTAGTCAGAAAGCGAACATGTTTTTGGCGTAATAGGGCTCGGTTCCCAAGATTGTTGTTCAACTCAAACTGACTAGTTATGAACGGAAATCGATTTCAGGTTGAAACTTAGCTACGGTAATAAAAAAGTGACGACATTCAATGCGGATTTATCGCAAAAACAGGTAGCTTACATGCTTTATTTTTGCTTCCCTGTTTTATTTGTATGCGTTTCATATCTCTTTCGTTTTTGCAAGAACATGTAGATACGACCATAAATGGAGTTATGTCGCGAAATTCAATCAAACAATATTTTCTGGTGTTGAGGTTACAAAATCGGGATTCTCCTTAGTATGGCAACCGACGGACGCCTCAACGTCGGCATCAATCGTCAAATTCCCGTTTGAGCGACGGGCGTCGAAGGTGAGGGTTGTTGGCCCTCAATAAGTTTTTAGTTCTACTTCTAGACTGTCTTCTTTTCAGGACCTGCTTATCGAATTGGAAGTCTTTGACAAGATGTTCTTGCAGCGGAAAGATGTTATTCGATTAGTTGGAAGAGTATCACTCGATCAGGTGAGTCCCATAAGCGGCTAAAAGTATAATAATTGAAAGCCTGGTGAGCCGTTTGCGATTTGAAAAGGGTATTGTAGGATACCAAAGAATTGCAAGTTTTCGGACCTCATCCTAACTGCATTTGACCAAATACGATGGCTAACATGGAATCATAAAAAAAAGGAAATAAGGCAACTCCCAATTACTCCATATACCACCGTCCGATAAAAAAATACCTATACCAAAAATCCCGACCGGAAGAGATTATCTTCCGGCAGTACAACCGTGATCGGACGAGATATCCATCGATTCACCGAAAAATGCTTCGTTCATGATTGAAGGCCTCAACTCTCAGTTGAGCCATCGACCCATGTATGTATATTAATCAGAGCCGACGCAGGGCTTCCTTTCTCCCATCGCCATTTCCCTAGAAGCCTTCGCCTCTCGCCTATTGGCTTATCGCCAGCGTGAAGTATGGTGTGATAGTGATACGGGAGGTGTTCAGAAACACTGATGACTCCTCCCTGAAAGTTCTTCGGGTGAAAAACTAGAGCGGCTTTCAACCTAACACATTCTAGTTGAAGGAATTGTCCGATTTTGGTACCTCCATTCGTTCTGCAATTTTTCGTTGAGCTCGGTCTTCTTTTGATTTCTCTTGATAAAAAAAATTTTAGCTTCTGCCTCCTACTAATTCAAAATCAGCTCATAATGTGGCCGAGGTGTGTCTTCGGTCAAGGGATACTGAAAATGAAATGACTGCGAGAGTAAACGTTACTATAAGGTGAGCCCGACATTTTAACACGATAAAAGATTTTGATATAAATGATTTGGTTCATAAGCTCTGGGGATACCAAATGAAAATAATAATCAGTTCGTCCATTCAAATTGCGTTGATGTCACTTCAAAAAAATCAGGCTTATTGCTTTTACATAGTTAGGAACTCGGAGAACGTCCCTTGCGCGCGTCCGTTGAAAGTAGGTCACCCCGCCCCCTTCGCGCGCGGCCCACCCCACTGTGATCTCGAGACGACATTACAGTACCACCAAGTGCCGGTGGAGCGAGTGATTAGCATTTGTCCGTGTTGTCTTTTCTTTGGCTGACTGTTATGGACCAAGCGCAATTCGTATGCCCCGCTGACAATCGCGACGTTTGTCAAGTGTCGCGGGCTGGCCCGCCGCATGCGACGACTGCGGCGTGACCTAGTTTCGATGGACGCGCGCACCGAAGTGCATCCTTAGAAACTCAGAATCTCGTTCCAGTTCAAACAAACTTTTCTCGCAGTATAAAAGTAGATGGCTGTTTACCGCTTGTTGTTCATATTAGTTTTGTTGTGTTACTTTTGTTCTTCTCAAAAAATACTCAGAATTATTATTGAATATTGAGGTTGTTGTTGTTCGTAGACCACTTGAAGGCTCTCAAAAAAGAACCAACATTTTTTAGTGTTACATTGAGTCGCGAGCTACAACTCATTGCTGGTGACTTCATGGAGCATCAAGTACAATCCGATTCACACCTCTCCTACCTCTGCCAATGTGCCGCTCTAAATCGTGGCGCTCTTACACCAACAACTACTGTACACATTGCCACACATAGGTGAGTAGACAGCACCTGGACGCTGATCTTTCTTGATGATTCCCTTGATTATGTTCAACGATGCTGCGCTTTGACGACTTCTCTGAGAGTTTTTAGGGTTTGAGTTTTTGAAACGAGAAAAACTTTAAACAGACCAGCTTGCATATTGGCGACGCGAAAAGCACGTTAGTATACGAAATCCATTTTGGCAATTCATAGGCCAACTTATAGGATTGAACATTCTGGTTGTTTTCACGTTCTTTCATATACATCCAATTCGCCGTTCGTGATTCGTCATAGTTTTGGAGATTTTCAATAAGTAAGGGATACGAGCTATGGGAAAGCCGCCATAAAACTATGTCGAAAGGCTTTCTTTCGAAAGGATTTCCGTATTCTAGATGTTTTTCGTTGATTTCTATATCGCTTTCCACTGGCTCTGAAGTCCAACAAGGACATGAGAATACCACGAATTGTCTCTTCAGAGAAATTACCAAACATTGAAAACCGTGAATTCCACTTTCTCCTTCTCCAGCCTTAGGGACAACCGAGAAAGGCTATAATAAAAAAGTCGCTAGCGAAAGGATCAGTTCTGTGGTTAAAGGCGATCACTCAAGGCGACAAATGTGCAGGGGAGAAGAATGTTAAACAACGCACATGTGTGCAGCAGCTTTTCTATAGGCAGGTCACTGATGACGACAGTTGTCTAGCAGGGACCGCGTACCTCATGGGTGCGCCTCGTTGCGCGTGTCCGTCGAAACTAGGTCACGCCGCAGCCGTCGCATGCGGCGGGTCAGCCCGCGATACTTGACAGACGTCGCAGCTGTAACCGGGGCGTACGATTTGCGCTTTCTCCATGGTAGTCAGCCAAAGAGAAGATAACATAGACAAATGCAAATCGTTCGCTCCACTCACACTTGGTGGTACTGTAATGTCTTCCCGAGACCTCAGTGGAGTGCGCCGCGCGCGAAGTGGGCGGGGTGACCTACTTTTGACGGGCACGCGCAACGGACGTTCGCCGGTCAATGGTCCCGTTGTAGTTTACCTTCCGTTTTCTTTTTTGGGAAGAAATCACTACAGACTGCTAGATTGTCGGCTGTCGCCAGATCACCCCATCTCGCTTCCGATCTCTTACGCTTTAGCTTTCTGCAACAGGTTTTGCTGAAAACCTTGAATGGAAGGCATAGTTAAGCTGCCGACCCCCTAGGAGAACGACTAGTCCAGGTTTCAAACCTCTGTGGCTGAAAACAAGCAAGCGCGTCTCATAAACCACTCCGGTCTGAGAATTCAGTACGCATTCGATTTTCATTCAAAATCACGACGGTTTCGGAATACAGACAAGATCCACTCGAGGAATGGCGTGGTTCAGCCGATATTTAAGTCAAACTCTCTAACGGACTGGTTATAGTATCAATGAAGAGACCATGGTACGGTTGAAGGCTTGTATGGCCTAGGTAGAAATCGCTTCGTTCATTTTAGTGAGCTTTAGTACAATAACGATTCCAATTCCAATTAGGCCTCTCGACTTTCTCACAGAAAGGACGAACAAGATGATAGTACTAATTGTAAGTATTTGTAAAATGCCCTATAATTCTATCTGACCTGCGTAGATCGTTAGTGAATTGCATGTGCGCAGAGGTACCATTTTTGCTAAACCTTTCAATTGCTTTCAGTGTGGTCGACACTCGTGATGGAGCAAAGTATACAGTGCAGGTTGTCCATTCAGCCGCCTTGCTCCTTTCGATGATTTTGGTCTATGGACGGGAGCAACGACTGTTGGCCATGGCACATCTGATAGGGGCTGACTCGCTGCCCAGTCGAGATCAGCTCGACAACAACTTGGTAATAAGTTCATAAACTGAGACCTTGAATACGTTTTCTTCACTCTCTTTAAAAACTTTACAACGTCCATTTTCAAACTCAATGGCTTCCACCCCGACGACTAGTGATCAAAAGCTGGGAATCCGTTCTGAAGAGCTGAGGCTTTTTGTACCTTGAAAAGGTAAAGCGCGAATTGGGTGGGTTTGAGAATGGACGTGAATAGGGGTTCAAACAGCTCAATAACTTCCGGTGTCAATGGGGCAACAGGAATAGAGTGCAGCAGAGATATCACCAAGGACTAAAAACAAAAATGACAGCTGTGCTAGATCTACTGGTAGAACATGTTTGCTAAAAGGTCGTCATTAATATCAGAATGAATAGGTTCAACCCATCGGAAATTTTGATGTAGCCACCTCCAACATAGTGACAACCAACACGAAATATTTCTGTTCATCCGCACGCATTAAAGGCACGGTCCCCGATGAAAGAAAGGTTACTGAACTCTCCCTTTAGAAATACTCAGCACCCCCCCTGGACGGTAGAAGGGACCTTCTCTCTCCAACAATCTCGGCGCTTAGGGCATAGTGGAAGACCTGTTGCTGTCGTAACTGGCTTTAACGCCCCTCGATCGATGTCACGTTAGACGAGTGTTGTGACAATACGGATGCAACCATTCGTTCTAGGACCCACACACAACCAGCTGATCGCCGAGTGTAAAGGCGATGTTTTTCTCCATTCTTTTTTCCTCTGTTATTCTTTTTGCTGCCTTGATCCCTTATTTAATTTCCTACTCCTAGAGGCTGAAAAAGGTGAACTACTTATGCTGTTACTAGGGTTTTTTTGTTTACTTATGCTTACAAGTGAACGAATTTTTGCTTACCATAGTCTGTTATCCGCACCAGGACCCACACGCACGCAGTGAGACACATTGCATAGCTCGTC